ATAATATTAACATGATGATTTAAATATAATTAAAATATCAAGAAAAATAAATTATTTTGGATAAAAGCCACATGGCTGCTTAGAGATTTAATGATTTTGGATGTATTTGATATTTTCCCACCGAACACTTTATCTTCAATCTCACTTTTTGTACGTAGTGTATAAGAATTTTATTTTCTTGAGAAACATCTTTCAAAGAGAATATTTTTTTTCGTAATTATTATACCCTGAACAACCACAAATGTTAATATCAACATTTTGGTTTTTGAGTTGAAATGTTAGAAAGAAAAACAAAGCAGAAATGAGAATTATTAGGCATACAAAAGTACAAAATAGTTAACCAAACAACAATAATTAAGATACCAAAAATGCAAATAATGTTCTAGTCATTCCGCACCAGAGACCTTTCTAATGAGTGCTGAAAGTTTTAGATAACTTTTATATGTACTTCAGTCATTAATTTTGTCTTGGTTTTAATAACCTTAGTTTAAAATGTTTGAAGTTTATCATTGTTAAGGCTACAATTTTTTGTCAAAAATGTTTGAAGTTAGCTAGTCTTCGCAACAAGGTAAGTTCTGTAAAATGATTGAAATTTTGCCTTTACCTAATATAAAACTTCAGTAAAAATTGTCTGAATTTTTTTTTTATGATGACCTTCACAAAGGCACACCTTAGACAAAAATGTTTATAGATCTAGGTTTTAAATTGTAAAATTTCTGCTCCATATTAGTTGTTTATTTTTTTAAAATTTTTTTTTATCCATAACCTTTTTTTAAAAAAATTTTACAAACTTATTTACACTTTTTAAAAAGAATTAATTATTATAAGGTTAAAAAGAGAAAATAATAATAATTAATTCACTTTTAATTTTATAAATTGACAAATAATTTGAGAAAAGTGTTTTTAAAATATGAACAACTAATATTGAATGAAGGGATCCGAGTAAAATTAAGCTATAACACCTTAATTAGTTTTACTTATCATACGTTTGTGTTAGGGTTTTGCCCTAATTTTCTTACCTTATTTGAAGTTTATATTTTCCTAAAAGAAAAGACAAAACATCACCATAAATGTTTTTACTTTTTGAAAGGAAAATATAATTTTCTTCCATATTTGGGTTATTTCTTCCTTAGAGGAAATGTTTGGAATCCTATAAATCGAAGACCTCTCCTCTCATATCAAGAACAACAAGAGCATCCACAATGTAGGGGAGATTTTCTCATAAACATATTTATGATTTTTTAATATTAGTTTTCAATATGTAGGTCGCTTGACCAAACCATATTAATAATATGTCTTTAGTATTTTCTTTATTTGTCGTCTGATTTCTCAACCATATGATTTGCAATTATATTTCTGTTTATTATCAATTCTCATTGTGAATGTTTTTTTTTGGTTTCCCGTCCGGAGTCCACATTGGAGCTCCGACTAAATCCAGATCACGCTCTGCAAGGCCCATTTGGGGTGGGAGCAAATTCGTTCAACCTCATAGTTACTGACATTGTGAAATTAATTCAATGTTTTTTTTTTTTGATTTTCCACCCGGTGTCCGGAGCTCACATTGGAGCTTCGACTAAATCCGGATTGCGCTCTGCAGGGTCCATTCGGGGGTGGCGCTTCCAACAGGATTTTCTCCATACCCAGGGCTCGAATCCGAGACCTCTGGTTAAGGGTGAAACACTCCCACCAATGCACCACAACCCATGTTGGTTAATTCAATGTTAATTGTATGTACTATGGACGAACCCTAAATTACATAAACTGAAACAAATGATTATACAATAAATTATTTTAGTGCTAAAAACAGCGTAAAAAATTGAGGGATATCGTATCTTTTTGGCCTAAAAGATATTTGAATACATCACCATTGAAGATAGATACCAACAGGCTAACAACCAAGTTATTTTCATTTTGTCATGTAATCTTAGCTAGTTAAAGGCCAAAAATGAATATTAATGTCTTGAAGGGACCGCATGTGTTACTATCCCATAACTAAAACGTGCCAAACAAATATGTCAAATTATTTGGAGTCCGGAGCCAAATGGACAAAAAAAATTGTCAAAAATTTCAAAAGGTCAACAAAATTGATTTTAGAACCAAAAGGGCAACATTGCAACGCCCAAACTAACGCTGTTGAAATCAGGGTACAGTTTACAAAGCACAGCCGTCTTGAGTCCTACAAGGCGCTGAGAGCGTGCGCCTTGTGAGGCGCATCGAGTGTGCGCTTCTCCTTAAATTGAAAAAAAAAGAAATGCATTTTCATTTGGGGA